GCACACGTCTGATGTCGCTCACAGTGGTCCAAGGGACGCTCAGTTTGTGTGTTCGCTCAGACACATGAAACATTACAGGGAACATTGCTCCCAATCATCTCTTCTTATTAAAGACATCTCCCTTCCTGCCTGCTTCCTAAGGGAAGTTCAAAAGGATCACATCTGCACGTCACTGCTGAGTATAGGTCCAGTCTATGGCTGATCTCTCATGGAGGTTTTCCAAGGAATACCTGCTTCAGCAAATATTGTAGGAAAGACCTAAGTGGTCTGACATAAAGCACAACTTTATGACTCTTTTCATTGACAAGACGGGAATGGGAAGAGTTGCTGACGAAGAAAGGCCCCGTACTAAAGTGTGTTTCCAGCTGGAGGCAGAAATCATGACTTAATGTAAAAGGATAACTGCATGTCTGTTCCTGGAGTTACAACTGGCATGCATGTCGTGTGGGATATCTTTCAGCTAATAAAGAGGAAACGTTAAGGTAACATAAATAGGGTGTAGTGTGTACTTTTGGTTGGCCGCTTCACTTTGTGTGCATGTCAGTTGTTTTGAATTGTTTAGGTTGCCTTGGAGTAGCTTGCTTGTCTTTAGACTTGACTGCTGTTTAGCCTGATTACTGAAGCATAAAGATGCACAAATGGAGCTGCACCTTGAAGCTGGATTCTTTGTCTGCAAGTGAATCAACCACAAAATCCTCCTGCCTGCACTGGTGCAAAGTCACTACACAAAATGATTTGAAAGTCATTAATACAACTTTTAAAGAGTTTAGAAATTGGTTGTAGGTGCACAGGAAGTAGATACAGCTGCTAACCAAATGGTATTTAATGACACCCTACATATGAATGTCATAATGTGTTACTCTGAGATTCATTCTCTTGTTCTGAAAATGTGTGTTTACAATCTACAGCTATGCTGCTGCTGCCTTTGATAGCAATGTGTTTTCAACTAAGTCTCTGGGGAGCAAAGTACGGGGGTCAGCCATCTCTGTCCAAGCAAAACACTGGGAATGCTGGAACTATCAAAGTGAGGGTTTTAAGAAAAAATGTATGATGGCATGAATTATAACGGATCGTATGGTGGTTCACACTGTTACCTCACAGTGTCAAGGTTATGGGTTCAATTCCCTCATCAGGCCAGGTTCTCCTTGTGTTTGTGTACTACTTCCTCCCAAAGACATGAAGTTAGTGAGGCTAGGGTAACTATCTGCAGTGTTGGGGAGTAATGGAATACATGTACCGCTGTTATGTATTCAAAATACGAGTAACTGTATTCTGTTACAGTTTAAAAAGGTGGTATTCAGAGTACAGTTACTTTGTTGAAATAAAGGGATTACACGGCGGTCTTTTCCTGTTTCATATGTTCGGCTGTCCCCTCTCTGTTTTTGGTAATTCCATGCCAGTACAAACTAAAACAGAACACGCATTAAGAGGCTCAAATGCCCGTGTCTCAATCTCGCGGCCATTGTCTCACCTCTGCTTGCAGCCGCATAATGATGTGAAGAAATATTTTTAAAAATTATTGTTCAAAAAATTATTTAATAAGAAGGCAATAGGCAAAGAGTTACAGGCATCGCCCTAAAGAATGTAGCCTGATGGGCAGTGTGGCCCAGTTGTAAGTAAGCTGTTAAGACTCGACTGTACGCTGTGTTCGTGTTTCCTCTGAAACAATAAGCTCCGTTGCAGCAGCCTTTCAACGCCTCTCTCTGTCTCTGCTAGCAAAATTGACCCACACAACAAAGTAAACCTAGTTTTCAGCTACGAGCCGACACGAACCCAACGTATCAGCCAGAGGTCCCTTTACTACAGTTCGGAGCTGCGGACCTGTTTTAGATACACACAGAATAGTTTTCTATACGAGATCGCTGCAAAAAGTGCAGCCTTACCTAATGTCCACCTACTGTTACTCATTTATATTAAGATTTAAATCTAGTTGGTGTTGGTGTGGAGAGTAACCTTCAGTAATGAATCACACAGCAATAGTACGTTCATGTAGTTGTAAAAAGCATGATAATATATAAAGTAATCCAAAGCCCTGTGACACACTGGCAACCAGTGCAGAGTGTCACCTTTTTCTTTTTTGCCTGTCCCATTTGGTTCTTTAGCCGTCAGAATTGCTGTCTGAAGACCAACAAGGAGACCCAATGGATTTACTTTGCCAAATGGAGCATCATGGCATTGCCGTATTGGTCCATTTGATCGACCTTTGTTGTTATTGTTTATTTTATTTTCAGTTGTTACAGACGGGACAGACATGAGTGAGGGATAGGAAAGGGAGAGAGAAAGAGGAAGGAAAAGAAAAACAGAAGGGAAGAGGGACAGTGAGAAAGGAAACTTAAGAGAAAACAAGCAAAAAACAGAGCAACATACTAAACACAACACCATCACGTTAATCTAGCTGAGTGTAAACAGCAGTAAATACTAAATATTGAATGTTGTTGTGTAGCAAGCAGGACCGACAGCGCACAATGTGCTTGGAAATAGCAGCCAATAGAGGTGTAGTTTGCGTCTATGGACAGTGAACACCCGTGTGCACACCTGTGTGGATCAGCGCGCTTGTATTCAAATGGTTTCCACATGTAACGATCTGCTAGAGGGTGTAGAGAGCCATAGCCCCGCCCCCCAGGGCATGAAGCAGGCATGGAGGAGATCCAGGCCCCAGACATCCAGAGGCCCCAGAGTACAAGAGCCCAAGGAGGACCACTGGAGGGGCATCCATGCCACCCTCCTGGGAGGAGCTGAGGAGATCCCCAGATGAGGAGGCACCCAGTAGCCATGGAGCAGAAGCCAGAGGGGGCTGCAGTGGTGTGCCCGCCGGCTCTGCCGGCAGTCAGCTGTGCCAGAGTGAACCGAGCCGCAGGCCCAGAGGCCGGAGGCCCGAGGGCCCCCTGCACCCCGGAGGAGGCCTGACCGAGCAACAGGCACCAGGCCCCGCCAAGTAGCCACCGGGAGTGAGCTGGTACACACCTGAGCGCCCAGCCCCGGACACCAAGAACCACCAACGCACCGACCCCTGAGGGCATCAGTCACCGGCAGGGAGTGTGGTGAGGGGAGATAGGCCTCCATACTTTGGAAGGCCTGAGATGTACCCAGAGAGGTGGAGTGTAAGACCCGACCTGACATATAGACACAGACAAACAAGCACACACAGACAGGGTCCAGGGTGTACCCACCCTCTCACCTGACTGGGAAAGGCTCCAGACCCCCCACAATCCTTTAAAAGGATAAGCGGCAGGGAAAGGATCGATACAACATAAAATGATAATTCCTGCTACATGTTTTGAGAACAGATCGTTGCCCTGTTAAACTCAAATCAAACCTTGTTTACTTTTATCATTTCTTTGGATTTCTTTCTCATTTTTTTAAACTTTGATTTTTTAGTCTGACAAGAAGCAAAAAATGTTTTTCTGTTTGGGTGAAACCATCTATTTCTGAGTCAATCCAGCAATATTCCAAGAAATGCAACTCTGTGTGCTCCACTTTAATCTGCTGTTCACCAAACTATAATTAAGCTTCGGAGACTCAGGCCCATGTCTGCTCACAGTGGACATGGAAAGAAAAGGGCTGCCATTTACATCCCTCCTCTCCCCCTCGTGCTCCGTGGAGTCAAATTGGTTCCAGATGCGTTCTCTCTTGGCCAGCCTCCACAACTGAATCACATCAAGCAAGCAGACGAGAGAAATTTTGCAAAAAACTCAGCAGAGCAAGTATAATGTGTGGAATTTCTACACAAAGTGTGAAGAAAACAGTATCAACTAAAGGCCAGTCATCACTATAACACATGGCGAGAGCCTTATTCCTGTCGCCAGCCTGCCCAACAATATGCACCCCGAATGAGGATCTAAGTCTTTTGTTTCTTTCATGTTGAGGACAGATGTGCAAGCGGTGAAAAAACAGATATTTAGCCAGAGCAAATCCACATCCTGCACCCATGTGCACTGAACATCAAAGCGCTCGCCAGTTCACACACTGCTAGTTGAGTCCCTTTAGATAAGACACTCACTAACTTCCACAGAGTTGATGAAAAGCATTAATGACTGGCTCTTCATTCATGTTTACATGGGCTCTTTCTTTTATTCAAACAGCATCTGTGGTGCCCTTCTCACCACAGACAGAGACCTAACTCAGGACTACATTTTCATTTTGTTTATTTAAAGTACACATGTGTTGGGGAACATTTATAGGAGCCGAGCTGAACAGTGATTTTGCTGATAAATAAAGCACAGACAGACTTCTTCCTAGCAGCTCTGTATATACACGTTAAACTGCTCGTCACATTCGCTTTTAACTCGCCCACCCGACCCGCTATGTCCGCCCCGTTTCCTTCCTGTAATTTGTCGCACAAGGAACAAATCTGCTCTTTTGAAAGCATATATCCATAAATGACAGAAGGATACATTTTGGGAGGAGTTTAGATTAACTTTGATCTTTGTCCTTAAAAGCTCGAAGGCTTCTGTGTATTTAAAACAGGACGTCAACTCAATGCGTCGCGTTTCGCAGGAGGGTAAAGCTAACGCCCGCCTGAATGCTTTCACTAATATTAAAGTTATTCAGATGATCGGAAAAGCCGCACGCCCAACATTTACCACTAAATCCTGTCGCGTAGGAAAATCTCCAATCACTGTGGAGCTCCAACTTTCCAAATGCGTGTGTGTGTGTGTGAGTGTTTAAACCGTTATTTCCACACTTACACATTCCTCGGTGGGCGGTAGCTTGCAGTACAACCTTTGTTATTTATCAACAGTGAACCGTAATCATACGTTTGGACGTTTACACAAACACTTTAAAGTTTCAGAATAAAACCTAATGACGACTTTGTGTGGTATCTAAATTTACCCACATTAAAGTATCCGGCTGTAAGAATATGAAGAAAGTGGAGTCTTAGTACATCTCAGTTGTGCCAGTTGTCACTGAATAAACACAGTCAGTGTTTTTTCAGCACAACATTAAAGCAGACGAACATCTGAGTTAGTCGAGTTTAAGAATATAAGGCACACACTCACCCTGAGCTCGCACTGGCCGGCTGTAAAAGTTTACGGCGAGAAGGAAACTGGTTATCTGGAAACACACACGCATCTTATTGAAATCCTAAAGTGCATCGTGGAAAAGAAGACATAGAAAATGCAACATGTTGCTCATTGGGTCGTCGCTCGCTCTCTCGCTGCCCTCTCTATCCCTCCCTGTGTCCACAACCCCAGGTTTGGCGACCGCAGAGAGCATGCGCAGATTGAAGCCGGAGTCCGGTTAAGTAGATGTTCCACGTCTGTTCAGTGTATGCTGCAGTTTAACCCTCATGTTTACTGTCACTGTTATTATGTTTCTCAGCGAAAAACACATAAAGGTCTATACTAGTCCCTCCCAGGCACAGTCTGTTAGCAGTCAGTACTCCTAATCAGCTTTGGACTTTAGAACTACTGAGGTCATCAAACACGAGTCAGAGAAAAAGGCAGAAATCTGACATAAAAGACTTTAATCTCAGAATGAACTCACTGAAGAAAAATGTCGGATTTCAGTGAGTTTTTGGCGTTTCCGAGCTGAGTGGTCCCGGCAGATGAGCAGTTTTTGTATTACAGACGCTGGCTGCCTACCCATATGAGTAATATAATCTAATATAATATAATATAATATAATATAATATAATATAATATAATATAATATATTATAATATATATTTAATATTTAAATATATATTATAATATATATTTAATATTTAATATATTTATGGTAGATGGCCTGTATTTATATAGCGCTTTTACGCATTTACTGAAAGGCTATGCCTTAGCTCGCTTCTTCCATTACTGTATTTCTCTCCGCATAAAATAGCTTTTCTGCTAACTACAGTCAGTACTTTCCTACTGGCATTAGTGGTGACCTAAGAAGCTTAACCTTAACATTGCTTAGCAGTGTAGACATTAAAGAAAATGACTGTCTTTTCTTTCTTCTTTTGTGCAGATTGATGGCGATGCAACTTTGGCAAATTACATCTCCTAAAGAGACCAAATTGCCTTCCCCAGTTTCTGCAAAAGCAAACAACCACTTACAAAAAGAAAACTAGGACTTTAGGACTTCCGCAGAAACTTTGTGAGAAAATGAAAAACAGAAATGAAAGTTCAAAGGAGAGCACCTCACATGCACATGCAAGAATAAGGCAGACAAAGAAGCAAAAAGCAGCATGAAATGTTGAGATAGGATGGATACACAGTGATGGAAAAATAGCCAAACAGGTGAGAGCAAAGCAGGGAGGTGGACCTAGAAAAATTCAAATTGCCACTTAATAGATTAAAAGATATTTTTCAGGAAGGAATTTTTTTTTCCTGATGGCATATCTCCTAAGGCATCTGAAATAGTTTGACGTTTGCGACTTTAAACAGAACCACCTTACTGATGCTGCGAGATCGATCAACTTCAGACCAGACAACAAACGACGGAGGCTCCGGAAAAGTGCAATCAAACGATGAGTTTTATTATCACAGGAGAACAACCAACCATCAGCATACGGATTGTTTTGCTCTGACAAGAATACATTGGGTTCTGGTTTTATAGGGTAAAATATCACACCTACGTCAATACAGTTCAAAAATACATGGTGACAGACGGGCAAAAGTTCAACCCGTGCAGACAAGGGTACATCACGTACACTTCTAATAACCATAAATAGAATAGAATATTCTTTATTGTCATTGTCACAAGTACAATGAAATTGAAAGATGTCTCCGGTCAGTGCAACATCACGAAAGATAAATACTTAAAAACTATAATAGATATGATATAAAAGATAAAAATACATATAAAATACAGTGTTCTCATACAGTAAATACACCCAAGCAATCCAGGCCTAAGGCCCCATACAGACACTCAACATACGACCTAGTTGATATATCACTCAAACAATCAATCACTCAGTCAATTTGTTAGCGCATCCAACAAAACATGTCTGAAAGCATTCCAACATCAGGGGCACAAATGACAACAGGGGCAATGAAAGTCATCTACTTTTAGTAGCATTGAGACATGATATTGCAATTGGGTAGAAACTGTGTTTGAGTCTGTTAGTCCTTGTGTATGTTGTTCTATACCGTTTACCTGAAGGCAGCAGTTCGAACATGGAGTGTCCAGGGTGTGAGGTGTCCTTTATGATGTTATGGGCTCTTTTGAGGCAGCGGGAACTGTGTAGGTCTTTCAGTTTGAGGAGAGGGCAGCCGATTGTCCTTTGGGCAGCGTTGATTACTCCCTGGAGTGCTTTCCTCTGAGCCACTGTGCAGCTAGCGTACCATATGCCTATGCAGTACGTTAGTATGCTTTCGATGGAGGCTCTGTAGAAAGACACCAGCAGTCTCTGTGTGATGTTGTTCTTCCTAAGCACTCTCAGAAAGTACAGTCTCTGTTGTGTCTTTTTCAGTAGCTCAGAGGTATTCACACTCCAGGATAGGTTTCCCTCTATGCTGACTCCCAAGAAGCATAGAGGGAAACCTATCCTGGAGTGTGAAACCGACATTTAACTTCCCTTTTCTACATTACTTGCCTTTTAGGGTAATAACTTCAGGTCTTAGCATCTCTGAGAGCTAATAATGGACCCTCGTCATTAATCACTAAGTAGAGTACTTTGCAGCCAGTCTCAAACTGAAGCAGAAGACGCTTAGGCCTTCGCTCAGACCTGCTACTAGATTAATATGTGTATCGTAAGCGTGCATGCAATTAACCTGCTATGTTCTCATCTCCCCTCAGCATGTATCATCTGGACACTCTCACCAGTGAAGCTTAAAACCTTCTAGAATGGAACATCAACTCTTAACCAAGCACATTTATGCATTGTGTATAAAATGAACTCAACCTGTAAAAATAGAAAGGTCAATGTGATGACAGACATATTCAATGCAATTTTATAAACCCTGCAGGAAATATTACTGATAAATGATACTGTGAAACATGTTATTAATACATTCTTCATAAGGCAAATTAAATGGTAGCAATAAAAGAATCTCTGAATCCCAGAGGCAGCGAGGCTGACAATGTTATGCTTCTACACTGCAACAAAGCCAAAAGATCCTGAAGAAGATGCCGGTAAAATGTTACTTTTCACACTGCATTTCTATTGTGGTTTTGAGTATGTTTATGAAGCTCCTTATCCATTTGAATAGGCCTGAAATCCATAACCAGTGTTGGGAAGGTTACTTTTAAAATGTATTTCCACTACAGATTACAGTTTACATGGCCCAAAATGTAGTTTGTAACATTTTACATTAAGTTACTCAATGTGAGTAACGTATTCTGAATACTTTGGATTACTTGATATATTGTCATGCTTTTTACAACTACATGAATGTCCTATTGCTGTGTGATTTATTAATATTACTGAAGGTTACTCTCCATACCAATAATTAAATTAAATTCAATTTTATTTATACAGCATCAAATCACAACAACAGTCACCTCAAGCTGCTTTATAGTGTAATGTAGACCCTACAATAATACATACGGAGAAAAACCCAACAATGATATGACCCCCTATGAGCAAGCACTTTGGTGATAGTGGGAAGGAAAAACTCCCTTTTAACAGGAAGAAACCTCTGGCCATCTGCCACCAACTACATTTTTAAATCTTAATATAAAATGAGTATCAGTAGGGTGGATATTAGGTAAGACTGCACTTGTTGCAGCTTTCTCATATAGAAAACTATTTCTGTATCAGTAATATTTTTTCTTTTTGTCTGTTTTCAGAACTGCACATGATTATTTACAGCTAGCAGGTTGTTAATGCTGTCCATCAAGTCTAACAGTCCGCAGTCTATGAACTAACCTCAGCTAACAATGTTAGCTCGGTGGCGAGTAGCCTTTAGTAATACTAATAAATCACACAGCAATAGTAAATGGTAAATGGCCTGTATTTGTATAGCGCTTTACTAGTCCCTAAGGCCCCCAAAGCGCTTTACACATCCAGTCATCCACACATTCACACACATTCACACACTGGTGATGGCAGCTACATTGTAGCCACAGCCACCCTGGGGCGCACTGACAGAGGCGAAGCTGCCGGACACTGGCACCACCGGGCCCTCTGACCACCACCAGTAGGCAACGGGTGAAGTGTCTTGCCCAAGGACACAACGACTGAGACTGTCCGAGCCGGGGCTCGAACCGGCAACCTTCCTATTACAAGGCGAACTCCCAACTCTTGAGCCACGATCGCCCCATTGAGATACTGAAGTTGCACATAACCCAGGTAGCTACCACAGCTAAAACAAGGTCCAAACAAGAATGAAATAATATGGTAATTTCTTAGTTATTACCACCCAATTAGTTGATTCTGTGTAATAAGCAGGAAAAAGAGTTGCAAAATACACCACAGAAACATCTGTGGCAGGGGGATCACACTCTTCATCCTTCCTGGGAAAGTCTATGCCGGGGTGCTGGAAAGGGGAGTCCACCCGTTAGTCAAATCTCGGATACAGGAAGAACAATGCGGTTTTCGTCCTGGTTGTGGAACCCTGGACCAGCTCTTTATCCTCTCAAGGATACTTAAGGATACATGGGATTTGCCCAACCAGTCTACATGTTTTTTGTGGACATGGAGAAGGTATTCGACCATGTCCCTCAGGGTGTCCTGTGCGAGGTGCTGTGGAAGTATGGGGTGTCTGGCCCAAGAGCTTGGTCCCTATAGCCAGCAAAAAGTCAGACTTGTTCCTAGTGGGTGAAGGACCCTGCCAGGGCTGCCCTTTATCACCGAATCTTGTAATAATTTTATGGACAGAATTTCTAGGCATAGCCAAGTGGTGGAAGGCTTTCACTTGGGTGGTCTCAGAATCTCATCTCTGCTTTTCGTGGATGATGTGGTTCTGTTGGCTTCATCGGGTGGTGGCCTCCAGCTTGCACTGGAAGGCTTTGCAGCCAAGTGTGAGGCGGTGGACATTAGAATCAGCACCTCTAAATCTGAGGCCATGGTCCTCAGCCGGAAAAGGGTGGAGTGCCCACTCCAGGTCAGGGACGAGTTCCTGCCCCAGAGTGGAGGAGTTTAAGCATCTCGGGGTCTTGTTCACGAGTGATGGGAGAAAGGGGCGGGGTGCTGTGGCTGCAGTAATGCGGATGGTGTACCGGTCCGTCGTGGTGAAGAGAGAGTTGAATATAAAAGCGAAGATCTCAATTTACTGGTGGGTCTACGTCCCTACCTTCACCTATGGTCACGAGCTGTGGGTAGAGACCGAAAGAACGAGATCGCGGATACAAGCGGTGGAAATGAGCTTCCTCTGAAGGGTGGCTGGCCTCTCCCTTAGA